GACGAAAACACGAAGCAGTGCGAAGAAACCCTAGATTCAGTTTAATGACTTTAATCTGATGATAGGTTCTATGGCGAGGTTGAAGAAGGTTAATTAAGGATGAACAAACAATATCTGTATTTGCAGAAATTTTCATTTTGATTTTGGGGAAAGACATTTGGAAACTTTTGATTTTATTTAACGTGTAATTTTGTTGATTACGATTATTATAATGTTATTTTAATAGAGATTTTAATTTATTTATTGTTATCATATTTTTAATTCATATATTTGAGAATATATAAGGTTAATTAGGTAATTTATATGAAGTACGATGTGTGTACGGTTTTGAACGATGTATTTTTACTGGGTTCGTACTTTAATTTTTAAATTTCTAGCGTTGTACTAAGTCGTACTAGGATCGTACATAAACTCAATGGATGAGATTAAAATTTATTGCCGGACGGTAAGTGAATTGTGAATAATTCACTAGATGTGGTAGGGGTTATTGGGAATTTGGCGGCGAGGGTACTCGAGATGAATGAGTGAGTCGATCCGGAATCAACTAGAGCATAAACGAGATTGTTACAAACGTAAATTGTACCTGCTATCATCGAAGGGTCGGCTTCGGCTTCATCTTTGGTCATTGCGAACACTCGACCGGGAGCTGGATTTTGCGGTGGGGGTTGTGGGCAATCCCTTATCAAGTGCCCTGGTTTTCCACAGCGATAACAATTGTTGGTGCCTTGAACGCAGTGTCCAAAGTGAGGTTTCCGACATTTTGGGCAAATCGGTCGGGCTGGTGGTGTAGCATGGTTTTGAATCATTGGACGTTTTCCCTTGTTTTGGCTCGGTCCGGGGTGGGGCCTCTTCCATTTGTGAGTATTGGCGGGTGGAACAGATCGAGATTGACGGATCTCTTGCTCGGCTTGGGCTTCTTCGAGTGCTTTGTCGACTATTTTTCGAAAAGTCATTACGGAAGACATGCGGACATCTCGTTGAATCACCGGGTTGAGGCCTCTAAGGAAATGGTTGGCCGTTTCGTCGGCGTCTCGGGATATGAATGGGGCGTAGAGACATCCTTGTTCGAATCGTCGTACGTACTCGGCTACGGACAAGTTGCCTTGCTTTAGCTCGATAAATTCCTTTAGTTTCTGAGCTCGGAGGTTTTTGGAAAAGTACTTTTCGAAGAAAAAGATTTTGAAAGCGCTCCAAGTTGTGTTCGTTAGGTCGATTCCTTCTTTGGTACCTTCCCACCAATGACGGGCTTCGTTCTTCAGTAGGAAAAGAGAACAATGGATTCGATCTCGGTCAGACATTTCCATGTAGTCGAAAATGACTTCGAGGGATTTGATCCATTCTTCAGCTATGGTTGGATCGGGGCCTCCATGGAATTCGGCGGGGTGCATTCTTAGAAACCTTTCGTAAATGGCTTGGGGTGCGGTATTTTGAGGTGGTGGAGGTGGATGGTTTTGGTTTTGGAGGTTAACAAGGCGTTGGATTTGTTCATTTTGTTCTCGGACGAGGGCGGTGAGGTCTTGTATGGTGCGAGATTGATCGTTTGGACCGTTAGCGGCGTTTTGAGCTCGAGTTTGTGCTCCCGACATTTTAGCACTTTAAACAAATAAACACTTCTCATTAGTTAATAAATGTGCACATATAAACACATACCTGCCCGAGTTCTTAGTTGATGTCGTCATTCGAGGATTTCGGAGATCTTTAAGTTCATATGGAGATTTTCCGGGGATCGTTGCTCTGATACCACGTATGTGTGACACCCATTTTCTAGTTATACTTAATTAGTATTTAGAATATGATAGCGGAAGACTTTGAAATATATAAATCGGGAATAGAAAATTCCGACAAAATTTTTCTTTTAGAATCAGAGTAAGAGTGTCCACATATTACCAAACAACATTCACTTATACAATTTCACAAACTATGCATGCATGACTAGAGATTAAGTTCCATTTTAGCAAAGTGAGAGAATATTGGACAGTTTCGATCTATCAATTAAACAAATTAATAACTCTCTAACCGCTCATGCAAAACACTTGCAAGTTTTACCACATACTCTAATAAGGACCTAGATAACCTAGTAAAAACAGTTTTTAAATACCTTGAGCCATTTGAAAGGAATAATTAAAATCGTACAACTATACAGTTTGAAAATCTAAAGCAGGGGAGTGACCTTTGAAAAATCTTTATAAATTCCTTACTGTTTCAAAAATCATCAATTTCTATACTAAAGTACATTAGTGAGTTATGATTCCATTACAAGTGGAATAAATCCTTTTGAGTGAGAAAAACCTTGTATTTTATTGTAAATACTACAACGACTCTGTTTCAGAGCAGTGTTGGGAAACAATTCATAATTAATTCATGGGTTATCCAAATAATGCAAAAGAACCATCAAAATGAACCTAACAGAGAGTCCTATAATTCTGTAAAATTTCATGAAATAATGTATGGAAGAGATAATTAACACGAATTATCAAACTACTAGACAGAACATAACACACAACTAGCCGACGGTCATTTTATAAGGTTTTTATGAAAACTTGCCCTAAGGTTACATAAGTTTTTGAGGAAATACCATATCATGTATCAAAAGAGGTAATTTTACTCCTAAGTAACATTTACATATTATGCATCAATAGTAAGTTACTCCAATAGGCGGGAGAGAACGATAACAAACACCTAAAACGGTGTCGAATGTCTTTAAAAGCAAAGTGTATAATTAAAACCACATTAGTATATTAAGAGCACCCAAAATCCACCATGCCTCCATATGAACTCTTCTCCCGATCCACGAACTCAACTTCAACCACGATCCTCGGGCTCGAAATCGGGTAATCCTACTAGCAATTCAACACCTATATGAGTCTTTGAGACTCAATGAGAATTCCATAGAATATCAAATACACTTAGACAAGGAATTATATAGTCATACATATACAAGTATACATATACCTCAATCACTATTTCCTTAAGAAAATTTACCGATTTACCTTTACCTTCTCGGTTTACCTCTTAGACCTTTTCGATTTACCTCTTAGACCTTCCTTTCATCATTTCATAAGGAATATCCCTTACAAGGGAGTCATTCTTTTACACATACATTCATTCATTTCAAGCAAATTCACTAGGTGTGTGAGAAAAACATTTTAATTCGGATATCCTTTGGAAAAATCAAGTAAAACCATAGACAATAAGCCTTCATTTATTTGGAACCCGTTTCATAAGTGGAATCAAACCACACACTCTTCATCTCATTTTAGGGGTACCGATCCCTCATACCCCGTGCTTATTCGATCTATGTTTTACAAGATTTTCCAACTTTAAAAAAACGTGCAAGTGAAGTTAGTATATTCTCTTCATTTCACATATTCAAAGTTAGCTTTCACATAAGCACACATATTTCCACCTATTTCACAAAGGCATATAATTTAGTCACAAAATCACAAAAGCAAGTAAGACACATAACAACTCAAGCAAGGAACATAGATCACATATAGCAAAACAACTCAAAGCATTCGGTTATTTATAATTACTATCTCCAAGTTACTAGTTAAAGTTCAAGCCCTCTTTCTCAAGAGGCTTGAAGTTCTCTTTCAAGTAACACCAAATTTCCATTTATTTCATTTTCTTTCCAAAATATTCGAACCATCAACAATTCAATCACACAAAATTCCATTTTTATTTATCTTGTTCTCGATTTTTATCTTCGTATACTATCTTATTACTCATAGATCATAAACCATGGATCGTAAGCTTCCTCGACCCGGAGGGAGTACACTTACAACCACGTAGGTCGATATATATAAACATAGAAACATATACTTATATATATATCACATATAGATTACAAATAAACCATGGATCAAGTACTTTCTTCGACCACGCAGGTTTACGAAAACCATGGATCGAAGTATATATATATATATATATATATATATATATATATATATATATATATATATATATATATATATATATATACACATACATACATACATAAAAAAAAATTACAATATTATTCTTAGTTCTTCAAGATTATATAATTTAAAGCTTAGATTCTTACATGCATGGATGATCTAACAATAAAAAAGTAAGGTACTATAACTTCCCAAATTTTCGGCCATTAAGAACAAAGAAGGTGAAAGAAGAAATAATATTGGTGAAGAATCACTTGTAGCAAGAATATGGATTTCTCACCTTAATCTTCTTAGAAAATTGGAAGGGTGTTCTTTCCTTTCTACAAGGAGAAGAAGAAGAAATTTTAGAGAAAGGGGAAGAAGAAGCTTAGTTTCTTGAATTTTTCGAAAATGAAGAAAAGAAAGAAGAGGAAGAAGACTTACTCCTTTGGCCAAGAATTTTACTCTTGAAAGAGAGATTTTGGGGCTTTCCTACACTAAAATTTCGAAAATTGGGAGAAGAGGAGAAAGAGAATTTTGATCTTTGATCTCTAGGATGTGTGGAGAATATGAGAAAATTGATGAAGGCTTGGGTTCTATTTATAGAGTTGTGGGAGACTTGCATGCTTAATGATTAAGGAGTGGTCTTTTTGCAATTTAGGCAAACTTGGGGATTATCTAGAGGGACTTCTTTGCAATTTCATTTAACTATTCAAAAAGAAATTCAAAAAAAAAAGGAAAAATCTTAATACACATGGGCTCACCTAGAGGAGGGTTGTACTCAAGGAAAATTTTGGTCTTGTGTTGTACCATGGTCAAAATTGAGGGATGAATATGAGGAATTTTCTATTTCTATTTAAGCAAATATGTGATTTAAAACTCTCCTAACAAATGAGTACTAGCAATATAAATGAGTATGATTAATCTCTAGATATAATAATTAACCAATATAATCAATTTAAATTCGTCCAAAATTATTTCGGACTAATGCGTTCTATATGAAATTTCACCGGTTATCACATAAATAAAAATCTTAAACTAATAAACGCACATAAGAGATAAAATCACGTTAACTAAATAGATGCTAATTAATGAAAACTTAAATTATCGGAGACGCGGGGTGTTACAATCTTCCCCCCTTAAAGAAATTTCGTCCCCGAAATTTGTACCTTTCTCGATTAATTCCGGGTACCGACTCTCAATCTCATCCTCGAGTTCCCACGTCGCCTCGTCCGGAGAGTGGTTTTTTCCAAAGAACTTTGATAAGGCGGATTTCTTTATTTCGGAGTTTTGGACGGGTTCTTCGATAAAAGATAGGTTTGGGGATAATTCTATAGGTTCGAATTCAAGGACGTGGTCGGGGTTAGGAAGGTATTTTTGGAGCATGGATACGTGAAAGACATTGTGTATTCGAGATAGATGTGGTGGTAGGGCAAGGCGATAGGCTTGAGTACCAATTCGATTGAGAATTTCGAAAGGTCCAATATATCGAGGGCTTAGCTTCCCTCGATTTCCGAATCGCATAATTCCTTTGAGTGGAGCGACTTTTAGAAATACGTGGTCGCCAACATTGAATTCTAAGTCTCGTCTCCTTTTATTTGCGTATTTTTGTTGGCGATCTTGGGCCGACTTCATTTTCTCCCGGATGTTTTTAATTATGTCGACGGTGTGTTGGACTAGTTCGGGGCCCAATAATTTTTGCTCGCCGACTTCGTCCCAATGGATTGGTGATCGGCACTTTCTTCCATATAATGCTTCGTATGGCGCCATTTCGATCGACGATTGGTAACTATTATTGTACGAGAATTCGATGAGCGGTACCGGCTTTCCCAATTGCCACCAAAATCCATTATGCATGCTCGGAGCATATCTTCGAGAGTTTTGATCGTTCTCTCGGATTGATCGTCGGTTTGGGGATGGTATGCCGTACTAAAGGCTAGACGGGTCCCCATTGCTTCGTGCAAGCTCTTCCAAAATTTTGAAGTGAATCGGGGTCTCGATTGGAGATAATTGATATAGGAATCCCATGGAGTCGGATAATTTCTCGGATGTAAAGTTCGGCTAGCTTTTCGAGACTAAAGGAAGTTTTGACCGGTAGAAAGTGAGCGGATTTGGTTAGGCGATCAACTATCACCCATATTGAGTCGGAACCTTTTTGAGTTTTCGGAAATCCTTGAACGAAATCCATGGTTACTATTTCCCACTTCCATTCGGGTATGAGGTTGGGTTGAAGCAGTCCGCCGGGCCGTTGGTGTTCCGTCTTAATTTGTTGACAAACTAGGCATTCGGACACGAACTTGGCTATGTCTTTCTTCATTCCGGGCCACCAATATAATTTCTTCACGTCTTGGTACATTTTTGTTTCACCCGGGTGGCAAGAGTAGGGGGTTTTGTGAGCTTCGCCGATAATTAATTCTTTTATCTCTTTGTTTGCCGGAACGCAAATTCTTCCTTGGAATTTTAAGACTTTGCCGTCGGAGATCGAGAAATTGGGATTTCGACCGGTTGATAAGCTTTCTCGGATTTTTAGAAGTTGATCATCAAGGAGTTGGGCGGATTTGATAGTCGACTTGAGCGGCGGTTCAATGATTAATGCGCACATGGACTTCCGGCTAAGAGCATCGGCCACGACATTAGCTTTACCGGGGTGGTAAAGTATTTCGCAATCGTAATCTTTGACCAATTCGAGCCATCGTCTTTGTCTCATGTTAAGTTCCTTTTGGGTAAAGAAGTACTTTAGGCTTTTGTGGTCGGTGAAGATCGAACACTTCTCTCCGTAGAGATAGTGCCTCCAAATTTTTAGGGCGAAAACTACGGCGCCAAGTTCCAAGTCGTGCGTCGGGTAATTCTTCTCGTAATATTTCAATTGACGAGAAGCATAGGCAATTACGTTCCCATTTTGCATCAAGACGGCTCCAAGTCCATGCTTGGAAGCATGGCTATAGACTACGTAGTTTCCGGTTTTGTCGGGTAAGGCAAGAATTGGGGCGGAAGTTAATCGATTCTTGAGCTCTTGGAAGCTAGAATCACATTCGGCAGTCCATTGGTACTTGGTTTCCTTTCGGGTCATTCGAGTGAGTGGAGAAGCGATTTTGGAGAAGTTCGGAACAAATCGTCGATAGTAACCCGCGAGACCGAGGAAACTTCGGATTTCACCAACATTTTGGGGAGTCGGCCAATTGAAAACGGCTTCGATCTTGCTCGGATCTACTGATATTCCTTCTTTCGAGATCACGTGCCCAAGGAAGTGGACTTGGCGTAACCAAAATTCACATTTGGAGAATTTTGCGTAAAGTTGGTTTCCTCGGAGGGTTTGGAGCACGATTCTCAAATGTTCTTCGTGTTCTTCATCATTTTGGGAGTAGATTAAGATGTCATCAATGATGACGATCAAAAATTGGTCGAGGTACTTCCGTAAGATTCGGTTCATTAAATCCATGAAAGCGGCCGGGGCGTTGGTTAGACCGAATGGCATTACTACAAACTCGTAATGGCCGTAATGAGTTCGGAAAGCGGATTTTGGGATATCTTCTTTCTTGATTTTCAATTGGTGATATCCGGAACGGAGATCGATCTTTGAGTATACCGTGGAGCCTTGGAGTTGGTCGAAAAGGTCGTCGATTTTCGGTAGAGGATATTTATTTTTTATCGTGACTTTGTTAAGCTCTCGGTAGTCGATACATAGGCGGAGGGTTCCGTCTTTCTTTTTGACGAAGAAGACGGGAGCGCCCCAAGGAGAGAAGCTAGGGCGAACAAACTTCTTATCGATAAGCTCTTGAATTTGGTCTTTGAGTTCTTTAAGTTCTAACGGGGCCATGCGGTAGGGTGCTTTGGAAATAGGATTTGCACCGGGAATTAGGTTGATCTCAAATTCAATTTCACGATCGGGTGGAAGACCGGGGAGATCTTCGGGAAAGACATCGGGAAAATCACAAACGGTTGGTACTTGGGATGGCTCGGGTTTATTTTCGTCGGAGATTTCGACTATGTCGACCAAATGACAACAATGCCCCTTTCGGGCGAGCTTAAGTGTTTTGACGGCGGAGAGGATTTGGAGTGAAGGTGAGTAGGACCCTTGGAATTCCACTTTTTGGCCGTGGGGTAAAGAAAGATAGACGGTTTTGGTCGCACAATTAATTTGGGCTTTAAATTTGGACAACCAATCCATTCTGAGAATTACTTCGAAATGGTCTATAGGGAGAATTATGAGGTCGGAATTGAGTGGCTTCTTTTGGATTTGGATTGGGCAATCTTTGAAAAAGAGGTCGGATTCTAAATCATTGCCGGACGGTAAGTGAATTGTGAATAATTCACTAGATGTGGTAGGGGTTATTGGGAATTTGGCGGCGAGGGTACTCGAGATGAATGAGTGAGTCGATCCGGAATCAACTAGAGCATAAACGAGATTGTTACAAACGTAAATTGTACCTGCTATCATCGAAGGGTCGGCTTCGGCTTCATCTTTGGTCATTGCGAACACTCAACCGGGAGCTGGATTTTGCGGTGGGGGTTGTGGGCAATCCCTTATCAAGTGCCCTGGTTTTCCACAGCGATAACAATTGTTGGTGCCTTGAACGCAGTGTCCAAAGTGAGGTTTCCGACATTTTGGGAAAATCGGTCGGGCTGGTGGTGTAGCATGGTTTTGAATCATTGGACGTTTTCCCTTGTTTTGGCTCGGTCTGGGGTGGGGCCTCTTCCATTTGTGAGTATTGGCGGGTGGAACAGATCGAGATTGACGGATCTCTTGCTCGGCTTGGGCTTCTTCGAGTGCTTTGTCGACTATTTTTCGAAAAGTCATTACGGAAGACATGCGGACATCTCGTTGAATCACCGGGTTGAGGCCTCTAAGGAAATGGTTGGCCGTTTCGTCGGCGTCTCGGGATATGAATGGGGCGTAGAGACATCCTTGTTCGAATCGTCGTACGTACTCGGCTACAGACAAGTTGCCTTGCTTTAGCTCGATAAATTCCTTTAGTTTCTGAGCTCGGAGGTTTTTGGAAAAGTACTTTTCGAAGAAAAAGATTTTGAAAGCGCTCCAAGTTGTGTTCGTTAGGTCGATTCCTTCTTTGGTACCTTCCCACCAATGACGGGCTTCGTTCTTCAGTAGGAAAAGAGAACAATGGATTCGATCTCGGTCAGACATTTCCATGTAGTCGAAAATGACTTCGAGGGATTTGATCCATTCTTCAGCTATGGTTGGATCGGGGCCTCCATGGAATTCGGCGGGGTGCATTCTTAGAAACCTTTCGTAAATGGCTTGGGGTGCGGTATTTTGAGGTGGTGGAGGTGGATGGTTTTGGTTTTGGAGGTTAACAAGGCGTTGGATTTGTTCATTTTGTTCTCGGACGAGGGCGGTGAGGTCTTGTATGGTGCGAGATTGATCGTTTGGACCGTTAGCGGCGTTTTGAGCTCGAGTTTGTGCTCCCGACATTTTAGCACTTTAAACAAATAAACACTTCTCATTAGTTAATAAATGTGCACATATAAACACATACCTGCCCGAGTTCTTAGTTGATGTCGTCATTCGAGGATTTCGGAGATCTTTAAGTTCATATGGAGATTTTCCGGGGATCGTTGCTCTGATACCACGTATGTGTGACACCCATTTTCTAGTTATACTTAATTAGTATTTAGAATATGATAGCGGAAGACTTTGAAATATATAAATCGGGAATAGAAAATTCCGACAAAATTTTTCTTTTAGAATCAGAGTAAGAGTGTCCACATATTACCAAACAACATTCACTTAATCAATTTCACAAACTATGCATGCATGACTAGAGATTAAGTTCCATTTTAGCAAAGTGAGAGAATATTGGACAGTTTCGATCTATCAATTAAAAAAATTAATAACTCTCTAACCGCTCATGCAAAACACTTGAAAGTTTTACCACATACTCTAATAAGGACCTAGATAACCTAGTAAAAACAGTTTTTAAATACCTTGAGCCATTTGAAAGGAATAATTAAAATCGTACAACTATACAGTTTGAAAATCTAAAGCAGGGGAGTGACCTTTGAAAAATCTTTATAAATTCCCTACTGTTTCAAAAATCATCAATTTCTATACTAAAGTACATTAGTGAGTTATGATTCCATTACAAGTGGAATAAATCCTTTTGAGTGAGAAAAACCTTGTATTTTATTGTAAATACTACAACGACTCTGTTTCAGAGCAGTGTTGGGAAACAATTCATAATTAATTCATGGGTTATCCAAATAATGCAAAAGAACCATCAAAATGAACCTAACAAGGGAGTCATTCTTTTACACATACATTCATTCATTTCAAGCAAATTCACTAGGTGTGTGAGAAAAAACATTTTAATTCGGATATCCTTTGGAAAAATCAAGTAAAACCATAGACAATAAGCCTTCATTTATTTGGAACCCGTTTCATAAGTGGAATCAAACCACACACTCTTCATCTCATTTTAGGGGTACCGGTCCCTCATACCCCGTGCTTATTCGATCTATGTTTTACAAGATTTTCCAACTTTAAAAAAACGTGCAAGTGAAGTTAGCATATTCTCTTCATTTCACATATTCAAAGTTAGCTTTCACATAAGCACACATATTTCCACCTATTTCACAAAGGCACATAATTTAGTCACAAAATCACAAAAGCAAGTAAGACACATAACAACTCAAGCAAGGAACATAGATCACATATAGCAAAACAACTCAAAGCATTCGGTTATTTATAATTACTATCTCCAAGTTACTAGTTAAAGTTCAAGCCCTCTTTCTCAAGAGGCTTGAAGTTCTCT